ACTGTGCTATAATCTTCTCGGCCTGGTACAAGTAGTCGAGACGTCATGAAATGTCCTGTATAAAGGGATTTGTGGGACCAAACGTCTGAATGCCAAGAGATTACTTGTGAGCCCGACAAAATCACGTGCAAGGCTCTTTCGCCGATCTGTATAAAGCAGGATGCCTTACTAATCACGAGGTCTGCCGTACTTACAGACGAATGCGTCGTGAGCGTGAATGAACGTGTGTGTTAGCCGCGCACAAAAGCGCAGCCAACGCCCGTGTCCGTTTTAGAACCGTTGGTACACGTGATTTTATATCCCTGAAGCGTTTCGATAGATTGTAAGGCTGTAGGTCCAGCAACACACGGTATGGTATCTTGTTTTCGAGCATGCGCCAAAGACACGTCGATGGCTGGCGATGTAGGCGTCTATGGAGGGGCCGGCTGACTGGATGGGCGCATCACACCCAGAATACTTAATCTTCTGTCATGAATGAGTACGACACGCTGGAAAAAAGATAAGTCACTCCATGTTTGCTCGCCGTGGAAAGCACCCTATATTTAGCGTGAAAACATATCAGTATGTGTTGGGTTATCCGAGAATTGTGACAGTAGCGTATCCCTAATAACTTCTTTAGGATCACTAGCAGTGGTGCATTGGCTTAAACGAGCAACACGGCTGCAGGAGGCGTCCGAAGAGTAGCAGTAATTTTTTTATATTTTTTTGACAAAAACTAATTTTTTTGTCAGCCCTATACCATGCTCACATAGTTCACACGGAAGAATGTTCAGGAAGTTTGAGCATCTTTCCCAGAGAGCTTTAGCACGCTGGTGGTATGCCAAATGACTATCAAGCTGAACTCGGAGAAAACGCGCACTTGGATGGAATGGTATCAACTTTCCCGTATGGCTGAATTTGCATGTCGAAACACTTCCGACGTGGACAAAAGTGGTCACTTTTTGTCCTTGCCGTCGAGAACCGGAACCCGTTAAGTACGCCCCAGGCCTCCAGGCGCCTGGCGGCGGTCTCAAGCTGTCGCTGCACAATCGCTGTCCTTGATGGACATGACCAAATGACAAAATTATCGACGAAGAGGGATTGGCCGATGGATCGCGGGAGTGTTGTGTCAATACCATTGATCATTACAACAAGTAATGTCACGCTTAAAACACTTCCCTGAGGTATTCCATTCACCTGTGACAATAAATGTGAAATATGTTGGCCGACTCTTAACGTAAAAAAGACGTTTCGACAACAAATTCAGTTATTCAATATTCATAGGGCTACGAATGCCGAGTTTAAAGAGCTCGACTAGAAGACCATGACGCTAGGCTGACTTGTAGGCACTCTTTACATCGAAGAAGATGGCATCTAAATGGCGATGCTGTTAAAATGCAGCGCGTATAGCGGTGTCAAGTGTTAAAAAGTGGTCCACCGTGCAGGGGTTTTTCCTAAAACCGCAATGAATGCTGTTCAATGTGCGTTTGTCTTGCAACAGCCATGACAATCTCATGTTTGCCACATTTTTCATTAACGCACACAACGATGATGTAAGAGAGATGAGCCTGTAATACCGCATATCTAAGCCCCTCCTACCCGGTGTAAGAACGGGCATTGTCGAAGCATTCCACCAGCCTGCCGGAAAATTGACTCTCTTCCATAACAAGCTAAAACTATACTAACAGGAGCTCCAATGCTCGACGAAGGAGTTGTGTTAATATCTTGTTGTGGATGTGATCGGGACCTTCCACTACGCTCCGCAGAGTAGAAACAGTCGCGTGGTAACCAAGTTCCTCGGACGTTAAAAAATTAACAGAAATTGTCTCAGCGCGAGCCCTATGACGTAAAACTTGTATGCTACCGCCCCCTGCTTGGCAGCGCTCCGCTAGTGCCCGAGCGATCGCATTGGCTGCAACGATGGGTTGCACGACGTCTTGGTCACGTACGCGCAACATCGGTAGTGGGGCGAAGAAAAATGATCTGAAGTTCGTTTGATCTGTGACCACACCTGTGATGTCGGGGTGGAGCTACTTAGTGGACTAATGTATTCCCCCCAGGAAACACGCTTCGCCTCACAAGTGGTGCGTCTTGCTGCCGCTCTAGCTTAGCCCAAGGCAATCAGATCAGGTCAAGTGCTACTGCGGTCAAAAGCCCTGAAGACACGTCGGCGTGCACGAATAGCATTTCGACGCCCCTTTGCCCACAATGAGACGGGGGCGCGGCCTGGTACCCCAGCAGTTTTTGGAATTCATTTATGAGTGACGTTTAAAAGCCAGGGCGTGGAGACGTTGCCAGATAAGGACTCTCTAAGTGGGTCAGCTGGGAACAAACAGCTGAGAGTCTAACCGAGTTTCGAACCTACACCCCTCAACTTGTCTAAAGCTCCATCCCTGCGCCCGAGGCCCAACAGCAGACCTATCCTGGTAGCTCTGCCAGCCACGAAAATGACCTCTGTCCATGGGATTGTCGACGACATGACAAGTAAAAGCCGAGGGCTCAAGACTTAGGTTAGTGGCAGACTTCTGGCCCGAGGGCGGCGTAACGTGCGTCTGAGCCCCAGTATTTAAAAGACACAACGATGCATCTATGCCGTGAACCGTGACAGTCCGCCACATGTGCAACGGCGTGTATATAACACATAACCACATCGAGTATAAGTTTAGAGTATTCTTCACCACAAACATCATGCATTACGGGCATGGCGCGAACAACACGAATGTCTCGGCTACTCCAGCTCTCACGTCTTAGCACCCAACACAGGTACTGCGCTAAGGGCTGTCTGCAGGACGGACGGTTAAGCCAAAAGGTTTCGGTGCCACGTACAGAGTATAAAGATAGAGCTGCCAGCGGGCATCAGTGTTCACTTCGAAGAATAGTTACTCTTATGAGCTTAATTACACATTGTTCAAGCCAGGTCCCAAAACGTTCGGGTGTTCAGACAGGGAGAAAGATTTCGAGTGTGGATCAATTCTAATGACCCTGATGTCCGTGTTGTCTTAATCTGTTGCTAAAATTTATAACCCAACATTAGTATTTGTTACGCTACGCTCTATTGCTGCACGTCGGTCTACCGTGTGTTCCAATCGCAGTGTGTACGCTCTCAGTAAAATGTGTCTCCAAGGTGTTCCTTCACCTAGTCATGAAATCTGCGTTTCGTTACAAGATGTGTGGCACATGGCTGTGGTTACAAGAAATATCATATAATGTGCTTTTCCACATGCATTTTCTCAACGTGTTCTCATAGGAGTTAGATTTGCAGCGCAGGTAATAACGGCATGAAAGGAAAGTGCACATATCTCGTCGTCTTGGGGACTTTACGACGCACTCATCTGCTAAGGCTATGTGGTGTTGTTTGCCTCTCAACCTGGCAGGAAGGGCGGGCACCGTGGGGAATCGAACCCCGTAACTCTGGTCTCTAATGCGTGGAGTGGTGGAGCGGAATGCATGTCCCTCCACAAGAACGAATTAGAGGAATGCCAAAGCAATGCAAATTGTGGTCGTCGCACATGACCTCGTGTGCTAGTTAAACGCTCACTTAACAAGCGATATCTTTTCTCAGTCACTACCCACTGCCCATAAAAACGGCAAGCACGAGACGGAGTTATACATTTAGCCTATGGCTGTGTCCACTATTGCCTCACATACATCGGTTGATATGATTCCCACCAAAAAGCTGTCCGACTTCCACGGATCCCGGGAGCATCGTCTTAGACCAAACTCCGCCGCGCCCAAACGAGGAACGCTCAGAATGGAGAGCCTCCTTTATCTAACGAGCACCCGATCAGTATGCTTCAGAAAACTAAACTTCAAGTTCTCATAACTCACACAAGAAGCACGCGATCTGTCCTTGCGGTTGCTTCACCAAAGGGTTTGAGCCGAACAAACCTTTAGACAAAACTCACAACAGCCAGAGCGATTGCATTTGCGATGCACCGCTGAGCCAACAGCCCACTCGTGCAGGCCAAGAATGATGACCATGCATCATTCGCGGTCGGGTCAGCGGTAGATCAGACAGCACAGATGGCCTCGTCATCCATGGCTCAGGCCAACCGATGGTGACGAGACACGCGCTCCCAACACCACCAATCCCGTGGTAACGGGTCGCATGCTTCGTGATGATGTTGAAGATCTCCGAATGGGGAAGGGGGACAGATAACTGTGCTTTATTGTATACATAACGCCAGCGAATCAGGTAGTAGGTATGTAGGTAACGACGGGGGTAGATAGGTACCGACAGCGTTATGCCTACAGGTCACTACGCTGCTGACTTCCAATAGCATAACCATATTACTCGTAGCGCGTCTCTTTACTCGATTTCAACCATGCCCATGCGCATTTTAGTGACGTCGGCGTGTCCCGCATCAACGCAGATGTAGCGGGCGGCACACAGCCGCATTGTTGCATACAGCCCTCATCAACCGATCAAAAGTGAAAGCTCTCCCTCATCACGTCCTCATTGCGCATAATTAAACCCTTTCGGCCACGTAATACAGCAAGCGCCCGGCCAGCGTCCGTAGCGGCACCTCGCCCAGAGCCGGCGCTGGCCGAGCGGTCGCTCCCGCCGCAGACGCGCCCCGTCCCGCCCCGCCGGAGACCGCCACCGATGTGAACGACGACCTCTTCTGTGGCGCTGCGGCGGCATGTCGGCGGCGCGGGCCTGCCTGCAGCTGGATACCACTCACAGCGCCAGCTGACGCGCCGACCGGGGCGACATCTGCGGCGCGCCAGCGGCGGTGTTCAGCGCACGCACCGCGCTGCGCTTCATACCGAGGTGTCCGTGCGGGAGAGGACGTTAGAGTCATGGGCGCTTTTCATTTGTGCGGCTACCGGAGTCTACTTGGCCATCAGTATTGCACGATAACCTTGCACCGTACCCCATCATACCGTTGTGGTCGAGAGAAGACTGGATGGATGAGGCATTGTTTTATTTGTATTTTGAAATATATGCTGTTGATGATACGCTGCTGTGCGGTTTGCAGCTGTCGTTCCGTCTGATTCAGTCAAAATAAAGGCGAAAATAAATTCCAACAGAGGCCTGTATTGATGTCCATTTCCAACCAATATACATGAGACGTAAAAAGAAGCACAGATGTCGGGACGCTCCTACTTCTCCGATGGCCTGGAACAGAATAGCGCCAGTGAGCACGGCATGTGCACTTGATATCAGAACCATGAAGTCAGCCACTCAATACCCAGGTCTGGTACGTGCGATCTTGAATATGGCTAATTACGGCAAATATTTTGTTGGTAGCGGTATGGTATGCTTAAATTCAAAACGTAACTACCCGGGATCTTTCGCTGAGAATCCAAAATGCTCTTTGCGCTTAGTTTGCGCCAGGATCCTTGCCCCTCCCAGTTTCCGATAACATCAGAGGGCAGGCCTATCCCTCAGCCGTCCAAGAACGACCCCACCCCAGCCCACGACACGGGCACCCGCTCGGAGCGCACGACCTCGCGAACGCCGCGGCCACTCGCTCGCAGCCCCCACCTTTAAAAACGGTCGACACCGACATGGACCACTCGACAGTGAGAACGCCGTGGACTGAACACTCGACGGCCAGTACTCACTTGGACCACTCGACCTTGAGGATGAGATGGTCGTATCCGAATCCGTTGAGTCGGCGAATCGCCTCCTCCGCCGCTTCCTGGCGATGGAAGCTGATGAAGGCGAACCCCTTGGAGAGGCCGGTCATCTTGTCCTTGGCCAGGAAGGTGCGCGACAGCGAGCCGAATGGCCGGAACAGCTCCTCCAGGTCGGACTCGCGCGTGCTCTCCGACAGGTTGGTCACGCGGACCGTGGCGTAGTCGTCTGCCGGGCGGCGCCGCCAGCGGTCAGAGGCGGCCGCGCCGGTGGCCGTCACCGGCGGCGGCGACGGTGAACGATGGCGACCGATGGCGATGGCGATCGGGCTCGCGGCCCGCAGAGGCCGCCACTCTCCGCCCGCCGCCGAGGTCAGCGCTCAGGGCGAGATGCAACGCGTGCGCACGCGGCGGGCGATGGGGACGGCCGGCCAGCCTCGCGGGTGTTATAACGTTCCACAACACACCGCATCTTAACAGAAGCAGATGGCAGCAAGGCCAAGTGCACACGTAAATACTAAACGATTGACAGCGACGAGCAACTGGGCTGAGGAATATCATCGAATATCGCAGTGTAATCGTACGCTTACGGTCATACACTAGATTTACACAACTACAAAACGTTATCAAGCCCGTTTCTGCCTACTCACCACACGGCAGATGCCCGTACTATTACGAGCATCAAATGGAGTTAATAAAACGAACCCTATATGGAGCAAAGCAAGCCAAACAAAACCGCAGGACTGTCGTGTTTTGTAGTCATGATTCTGGCTCCAGGCCTGCGTTTTTCATCAGCTCCCACAAAAGCTTACCACTGCAGCTCGTTCACGACGTTGTCAACTCTCACCTTCAGCCATCTCTCACCGAGCTGAATCCTCTCACCTACGCCCTTCTTACATTACGTTGTCTTCACCCCGCTCGTCACACCGTGCCGCCTGCACCCGTCACACCGTGCCACTTCCACCCGTCACACCGTGCCACCTCCTCCCGTCACACCATGCCACCTCCATCCGTCATACCGTGCCGCCTCCGCCCGTCACACCGTGCCGCCTCCGTTACACCGTGCCGCCTCTACCTATCACACCCTGCCGCCTCCACCCGTCACAGTTCCGTCTCCACCCGTCACCGTGGCGTCTCCGCCAGTCCTGTCACGCCACCCGTCACATCACGCTACAGTCTGTCGGCCGCTCACCTCTGCCTCTGGAGCTCATCATGCTCTCGCCACGCATCTTGGCGCCTTCCTTCATGAATGGTGGCACGTACTTGCCGCCGGTGGACGTGCTGCCGGCCATCTTGCTTGCCTCCTCCTCCTGTTTCGCCTGTCGTCACAAGAGCACTGAACTGTGAACGGTGCGCCGCATAGGGACACAACAGCGCTCACACGGGGCTAAATGGCCCGATGCAGATCAAACGTAGTGGAGGCATTGGAAAAGGGTGGTAAAATACAGGAGAAATATTTCTCTTCAAGATCACCCATGACCACGCAACATTGCTTATCTAGTTATCGAGAAACCACAACGCAGTGCCAACAGCGGAAGAAATTACACTTACCCTGCTAGTGCTAAGCTGGTAAAAAAATCACGAGTTTGAGTTTACCTCGCTGCTCTCGCGTAGCAGAGAAGGCGCAGACAAAAATCAAATTACACACACACACATATTATATATATATATATATATATATATATATATATGATTTTCCGAGTGCATTGAAGAGCATTGCACAGGCAAAGTGTACGAGTCATCCATGGGCGTCAAACAGATTACGAATTTAAACTGTGATTTGCTGCATCCTGTTAGACGCGAGTCCAACGTTGCCATTGGTGGCGGTGCCACCGGAGGCAACGGTGTCGCCTCCTCGCGTGGCCAAGGAGACGGAAACCGCTTGCTATATGCCTGTGACTGGAGTATTGACCGGTTCTGAGGTTACCGAGCCGCGGCAAATCTCATCGGCGAGCTGAATGAACTGGAAATAGTTCACGTCTTTGGTGACGGACTGAAAGCATTATGGAAAGACGCCGAAATTATACGTGGACACTGGTCTCAATAAACCTTACTAAGCCCCTTTGTACTTTCACTGGCCGATCTGTTTCGGCGTAGGCCACGGCGTATTGTATTTGGGGTCGGTTTCAGAAAGGGAGCCGCTGGTGGCTTCCTGGTCAACTACCAGCGCAGCCATGCGTCAGACATTATTAACGCCTTCAGTGGTTTGTATACGATACGCTGGCCTACACCGCCCTGCCGCGTTGGTCGCTCGTTTCTTCTGAACATCATGTCTTCTCCACCTACTCTGGTTACCGAGGTGAAATAACAATCCTTGAACACGTCGAAAAAGGACCTTCCATGTTCATGCACGACCGCGCGTGGGAGTCTGTATACATGTTTCCACCCCTGCCAGCGCAATCTCCCGATTTCTCCTCTATCGGCATTAGTAGGATGTGTGTCGCCGCGACGCCTCGTCGCCGAGATCTGGACCCGTTCTCGGCTCGCGGTCTTCAACTTGTCCGCGATTTGAGAATACCACGTTACTGATGCTCATCGAACGGGAGGGGGGGGGGGGGGGGTGAAATGCGGGGATGTTGCAACGTTACATAAATAGATCACCTATGCAAGCAGCACAAGCATTTTCAGTGCCTTTTAGATATAAGCATACAACGTTTGGAAATTTTTACTAATTGTTGCTGAAGATCTAGTGAGTGCGATCACGGCTGCAAAGATACAGGCCGGTCCGGACCTACAGCCGGCCCGGCCGGCTGAAGTAACAGCACTGCAACTTAGCCAACATGAGGACTCGCACAGCCTCTGGTCTCCCTCAAAACAAATACGCCGATTTAAACTGCACATGCATGAGCCCAATGGTCCAGTAGCTTTGGCAGTGCTCATGTGCAGCCAAACTCATCTACTCAAGTCATTTTGTAAGCCTACATTCTGCCAAGAATCTTATTCAGAGCACAGGACATGCCAATAGCTGAATCTTAAGAATAAGCATCAGAATATGCATGCATCGTTTTTTAACTACGGGCAGCACTTATCATCTAAAGGCACGCCCTGCCAGATAAACACGAGGATACTGGTTCTAGATATGCCGTGTCACCTGTGCCAGGTCGCTTACCTCTTCCAGGCCACCGATCTCCTTGTAGGGACACTGCGTGGTCCAGTGGTCGCCCTTGCAGTAGCGGCACTTGATCTGGCCCTTGTTCTGCTCCTTCAGCTTGGCGCGCATGTCGTCTGACTCGTCCTTCTCCTCCTCGTGTGCCGTGATGAACTGCATGCTCACTTCCTCGGCCATGATGGTGGTGGCCGTGTTGGGACCCGGCTTGTCGCCCTTCGAGAGGCCAAATTTGGACCACACTTTCCGCTTGGCCACCTCCTTCGAAACCTTTCTGTTCTCCACCTTGATGGTGGTGACCACCTGGGCAGAAATAGTATGGTCAGCAGTGTGGAAACGGAAAAGTCGCGACTGGTTGGTCTTAATCGTAAACATATCAAACCATGCTGGAACCGAACATACATTGGCGTACTGTCTGTATCATGACCGCCCCCGTGGTCTGAAGGAGAGATGCTGGACTCGTTATCCTGCAGCGCTCGGCCCGACTGCCGGAGCTGGCGCACTGGCCCGACCAGCAAGGCACCGTCGGCAGGTAAGTGGCTGAAGGGGAGTCAACCCTGGCTCGAGGTGGCCGTGCTGCAGCATTGTACGACACGCAAAACAACATGCCGTCTTCTTTAGCAGAAGGGTGAAAGCGTTATTATCTGTTGCGGTTTGAATGGGAGGAACAACAGGAATGGTGGGTTCAGGCATGGTTGGCAGCAGCAGGCTGAGACCAATTCTGACAGCGGTTTTCACAGGTTAAAACTGCCTAGAAGAAATAATGGAAGCAAAAATCGGCCTGAACTAAGCCAGTGGGAAGAAAGTGAAGTCTGAACATAGCAATATGGCTTATGGCATGACTTAGGTATGATATGACTCAGACATGATATGACTTAGATTTAGCCATATTCATATGCCATGTACCATTAATATGGTGCACTGTTTATTGACAAGACTATGGTTTGAATGAGGATTGTTGGACAGCAATTGTAGGATGTCAGAAATTATTAGATAGATAGATAAATGGATACACGTGTGTTTGAACTGTCCACGATAGACTCGTGGCTATTCAAACTCATCGTCACAGCATTAAAACAATGCATCACTCGTACAAACGTCAACACACATACACACATACAGCTCACAAACATATGCACAAATACACCTGTTTGCACAGAAGAAGTGCCGCCCTCAAGAGGGAGGGAGCAAGTAGCTGCGACATAAATGTCATGACATCGCATTACCAAAACCACGCTGACTGCGATATTAAAGATGATTTCGTTATGGTAGTTAGAAATTGTCGCCAAGTTTATTGTGGTGACAAGCAAAAGAAAATTAGATATTTGTTAAAAATTATTCACTTGTAGCCAGAAAAATAAAATCAGTTAAGTTTGCCAGGCACCTATCTTTTATGTAAATCTAAAAAAGTTTCTGGAGGAATATATTCACACCTTCAAACAGGTGAAATAAAGTAAGAATAAAACATAACCAAACTTTACACAATAAGGACAATTCAAGCCTGTAGGCTATAACTGATTTGAAACACATCGGAATACATTCAGAACATAATTTTAGGAAAAATAATGATGCTACACACATACTGCAGTCATATGATACCACAACGAATATTGTGTTAAATTCGAAGCAAGGAGTCATGATCATGTACGGCCCATGTCTGCACTGCAAGATTTTGTGAAGGCCAAAAAATGTGTAGAAGAATACTTGCCTTCTCTTTCTTGCCGTCATTGATTCGGTACTCAGTGACGATTTTCGTGCCATTGGGAAGAAGCTTCTCCTCGGTAGGTGGCAGCACTGGCTCTGACAAACAGAGGTGACTGTAAGTAAGTTCTGTGGGGCACCGACCGCCAAAGGCCACCGCCGATCGGTCGCATGGTACCGTCAAAGGGGTGGTGTTCCCGAAACAGGCAACGTTCCGTACATTTCACGACTCTCTCTCCCCCACGAAATGGTGAGCACCATTTCCGACGCAGCGCTGCACCCGACGGGGCTTTGATCAAATTTCAAGGCAGATATGAAAAACCCCATGTGGAGTCTGCCGATGCAGGTCCACTGCCAGCCTGGCTCCACCAATGCATGAACAACGTACGCCGGGGCGTGCTCAGCTCGTGCACTTATGTACATACCGTCACTCTCCTCCACCTCATCAGCCCACGAAGTCATCCTGCAAGACAGATAACAACATCATTACATCTCCATATGCAAATGACTGCAAACATGAGGGCCCCAACGCTTTAAGAAAATTCGAAACTTTACTACGCAATTTCTGAAATGTCCTTCATAACTTCGTTAAGGTCAAATATATCAAAATCATCAAAGGCCCACCCAGCTTCGGGCGTGTGCTAAGATTTGCCTGTAACTTGACGGGAAGTTTAAACTATACTTAAAAAACCCAGTTTTGCATGCAGGACTTCAAATTTAGGTATGACCACGTGTTACGGAGCCTCACGCACAAGGAACGTGTGCATGCTTTATTCCATACATTATTGGTTACCCTATATGAAATGTAATGACCGAGGTTTAATGTGTTCCACGGACCACAAGCACGGTGGGGTGCACGATATCCTTGGACAAAAAGGTCACACAAAGGTTACTTATGGTACTGATGACAGGCCAATCCGTGTTGGGTTTCATGTCCGTTTAGCTGGCTATGCGCTTGACTCGATGATATGTTGAACTCTATGCTACACAGTCATAATGCAATTCTATGTCACATGAGAGGCATGAATAATGGCATGACATAGATGGCACAGTCTTTAACCGCAATCGCGCCCTGTGGCCTTGGCACACTGGAACGGGCAGTGGTAATTCTTCCTGGATCTCCCCTTTACAAACAACTCATTATACACTCCATCGATTTGAGCACACCAATATGTCACTTTGAACAACCTTGTTTGCTAAATGAGCAAGAAACATTTGACTTTCTTCTAACCCACAATTTTCAGCATGTCTAACTATTGTTTTGGAGGGTTTGTCACCTTCTCCACAATGGGTTGACACAAAGACCTTCCAATCCTACGCCTAATGAGCCACAAACAACAAAGCCGTCAAGGGGTCAGACATCCATACGACCTCAGCGGCTCCCAAAATTAGGTGTGAGTACCTCAGCCTGTACGGCTGAACTGTCAGGTCAGGATACATGAAAGAGCAATGCTGTTTTCACCATCTGACTTCACCATGTCTCCGGAGGCTGGGGCTGGTTAAGCTATAGCATGTTGCCAGGCATCTCTGACCACAATGACACTTGTAAGTTATAAAATTGTCCAGAGGTGGCCTTGAATGGCAAAAGTAATACAAGAAACCAACATATGTGCCTTTTCAAAGGATTTCCAAGCGCCATTCCCGACAGTATCAGGGCATGACCTGGCATGAATTTGCCCTTGCAATGCCCAACACATGGTATTAGTCATGAGGAGACCATGCTCAATCCCATGGGTATAAGATATGATCATAGATCAGATCAGATGTGATTCCAACTCAGCTAGCTCAAATTTAATCATGATGCATTCAGCAGTCTGGGATTACACTGGAAAACAACTAAAACAACTCTTGAATACTTTGTCCTTATGCTGGGTAGGATCTATCTGCTTGCCTGTTGCTGATTCAACATGTCATATCAGTTTTCCCCCACTTTGCCATACTGCAGATGCCATTGCTGGTGAGACTGAACTGGCTACAAGGCTCATCAGTTGTGGCTGGGTGACATGCTCAGTGACTGGTATGCCATTATATTAGAAAACCTCAAAAACATAATTTTTGCTTAAAATATTCATCCAGATTTTCTGATTTATTGCCTTCAAACTTCACTGAGCCCAGTGATGGTTACAACCTTGGTCATGCAGGTTGAGACAATACAACGCACATGTCAGAGTAGTGTATTGTTTCACTTGTAGCTCAAAACAAACATGCAAATGCTAAGAGTATAGCAGTTTGGACACACTGTCTAAGTATGACATGGTGTTGGTTTATGACCAGGTTTTGCTAAGTAATGAGACTCTGAAGGCAACTCTAAGGCAACCATTTAAATCACCAACTGAACCTACATCATGTGAAAAACAGCCTTGGAAAGAGGCAACATCTGCACCACATGGTGCAGCAGAACAATGAGGAAACCATCACCCCAGGTCTATCTAACATCTGAAAGCATCAGTTCAAATAAGGAAATACAACATACTTTGACAGACTTGACTCCCTTCTCAGTAGGCTGTGTCATATGCAGTGTATGGGTGGGATGGGTGGGAGAGTGGTCTTGCATGTCACATGTGACCTGTACTGTGACCACTTGAATTGAGGAGGGTCTGAGAATAACCCAATTGTTGTGGACTGACCCAATTATGTACAATACAATCATGAAGAAATGTACAAGAACCCTACCTGATAGCATAAAGTAGACATACAGGAGTATATGTATCACATACACACAAGCACGTCAGCAATACTGGCCAATTGTACTCTTTTCTGTTTTATCGTAACAGCATCAGCAATGTGGTTGGCATAAGGGGCACATGACAAACATTTGTTTAAAGTTAAGGATGTGTGTACTAGTAGACAGGTATGTATGTACAGACAGACAGGTATGTACAGACAGTATCGGAATTCTCAGCATAAAAGCTGCATTGTAACACAGACTTATGATGCTCTCATTGCCTTTTTGTCCTATTCCCTGTGTGATGCTCTTTTCCTACAATGCAACATAATCATCACAGCATAATGTTGTTATAAAGAACCTGAGCCTGATATTCATCCCCAGAAAACACCACCACCAATGCCTTAACTTTGCCATCATTGGGGCTTTGTGATGCACTTAGCTGTTGAGGCTATATGGTGCCACTTGCTTGTCACCTTCACAGTAATAGCAGCTTCACAAGTGCACTGATGACATGTGAAAAACATTATTACTGTGAAAAGTCCATAACATCCAGTGTTTTAAGTTCAAATGACTGTGTGAAATACTGCAAATAAACATGGTGGAAATATAAAACAATCCTGTGATCTACACTAAACATTGACAGCAAACATCAGAGTGAAAATATACATATAGCAGTAAAGCTTGATGACACAATACATCAGCCAATCAACGTTACCACACCGCTACTAATTGTAATTGCATCAGTAGTGAATTTTACCATCAGTAAAGGGCTAAGAACTGTTTTATCTGATGGAGGTGGTCCCACCAGTATGTGGCTGTGTCTTGCTGTCATCTTGCAGCTGAATTATGCAGTTTCTTATAAACATGGTGCAAAATCAAGGTATCATCTATGATCTTCATATTTGGTGAGTTGTTGGCAATAGTAATCAACTATGTAAAGCTCTAAAAAGAGGTTTCCACATCTCACTCCTTTGAGAACAAGTTGTGTCTTTTCCTCTGTCTCAAACTTATGCCCCTTTTACAGTATGCACACAAACAAATAAGCAGAAAATAGCATGATTGCACCATCTTTCATTTAATATGCAATCACCATTGACTCAGAATGCTCTTGACATTATTTACACTATCATAAGTAAACACAATGATAAGACAATATCAATGTGTAAAGGTCAGACAGCCAGACTGCGAAAAAACACATGTTAAAGGAATGTGCCCAGTGTAACTGTGATATCCCAGCAACAATTCCAGAACCCTACAGCTTAAGCTGGGAGTGCTGATTTGGGCACAAAGGCATCACCAATTTCAGCACATAATGGGCAAACATGATAAGAATTATGACCTTCCAAAGGTAATTTCCAGGACAAATTCTGATAAAAAATTTTCAAGCAAATATCATTTGAAAATATAACAAAATTTGAAGCTTGAACACTTAGCACAATTTGGCTTTGCCTGCATTTCGTTCAAAGGCTTGTAGCGTCAATGTCACGAAGGTGACTAGCCCAGTGGACATATTTTGTGGCAGATTGGACTGAAATTTTTTATGTTGAGACATTTATGTAGTCCATCTCAATATGATTAAGACACAAGGCCGATCTCAAGCTGGAGTCTCAATGTACAGATGTTGTGCACACCAGGGGCAGAGTCCATGTCAGGCTTTACTCCAATCAAAGCCTGAGAAAGAAGACCCTGATGTAGAGCCAACCATACATGGTGAGCTAATGTACTTTCCAATTATCATTTGATTCCTCCAGTGCACATGTCCTTTAATTAATTCACCGTCATTGCAGGCATAGAAACAAACCACAAATTGGTAAAACTTGGTTTTAAACATGCAGACAAGTTGCACACATCATGCCCTCGTAACTATTATGCTACGTCATGGGGAAACGCACGGTATTATCGCCAGGACTGCTAAAGCATGGAAGCGTATTATCTTAGGACTTTGATCCATAGGCACCACAGCAAGCCATGACCACGAACACAAAACTTTATAAACACTGAATTAGCAGGTTACCAAATGCATCACTCATTCTCTAACCTATAGCACATCAAACATATGGACGACGTTCTGGAAAATGCACTCACTCGTTGTCCAAGGAAGGCATTGTATGGATTTCGGCTTTCCTCCAACAATAGAGCAAACCAACTCAGATTGATGAAACTCAAACTTAGCGAAGCGCTTGTAACTAGAATTGAATATGTCAATCTAGAAACAACCGACAGTAATCCAGCAGCCCGCGTCACAACCCCACGCTGCTTCAAGCTGCACGCTTATGCCACTCTGGTGGTGAACGAACTTGAATGCCTTTGTGCGCCATGATGAGTGACAATGAGAATGGCAGGCAGGCATGGATAAATTGCTACCAAATCAAGAATAAAGAAACGGTGTGGAAACTTTCGTAAAGATAAAATAAGATGCATGTGGCTAAAAGGTCGCGATCCAGCGCAGTGGCGGATCGGCCTCAATCGTCACTTTATCCGATTTTGAGTCCTACGATTGTCACCGTGGCTGACCTTCTTCATCACAGTGCATGAATGAATAAATGACAGCTGTCGGACGCGGCAACATGTGGCGCGAAAAAAGCGACCCTTCCGGCAAGTACCACGCCCGGAGCACGGACCACAGTGGTTCGCAAGTTGCCTAGGGAAAACAGCCTCGTGTGTCGTGCAACTTCGGGTCGTAATGCAATTTTGCCATTAAACGACCCACCATTTGGCCCGGGCACGACGCAACGCTACTGGAACAATGGGAAGGACAGACGGACGGCGAACGAACCGACGGTCCGTCTGCCAGACAGACGCATTCTTTGTTTACAGTATATAGATGTGACAATATTTGTATTCTTTTTTAGTGCCCTGGCTTCTCCAATGCTGAGTTAGGTCCCCTAGCTCTTCCCAATGTTTTTGACCGTCACTATATGGAAGCGTAGATAATAGTTGGCCACCGCACCAAGACTGTATAATTTGATCTTTTTGCACAGTGGCGTCGTCATGGGGGATGCGGTGGGTAAGTGTATCTCAACAACCACAAATTTATTTTCTCAAATAATGGAAAACTTAAGGTAATGAGTGTTAGACCATGTTATAAATGGATTTCTTTTTTGTCCGTCGAGAGTAACCCAAAAGTAACGCCTTTTTTAACGTCAAAAGTAATGCCTTTTCCTGCAACCTGAACGTGACATTTGCACTCCTGATTCACAAATCTCATGGAGACTATGTTCAGCGATATTTTGTCTGTCGCCCATCGGACGCTACACACCTGACAACATTGTTTACAACGCTACGCTACAACATTGTTTGGCCTGAAACCCGAAAATATTTGCTGTATGGCCTCGTGAGAAAACAATTGGGTAACATAATGCAATTTTTGGTGTGACACTGGTTGAAAATGCAAGCTCAGCTTTGAAATGGACATACATTGCACAAAACGGAAAAAGAAGATATTGCTGGGATCGATTATGAATCGCATCCCGTGCTGAAAATGTGTTGCTCGAACTTGGAACTCCTATCTCAATGATGCAATGACGGTCATCTGACGCATTCTGCTTCGGGCCCTTGTCGAAATAGCACGAAAGGACAACTGTCGTGTCATGCAATTGCACGGCTCTCGGCTACCCTGTAATCAGGCTGACACTGTTGAGCCAGCGATGAAAGTGCCACCTTTGGCCGGCCATATACAAACACTTGTTCTGGAAAGCGAACCCGCCACCACGCGGTTTGCCACGTCGCGAATGTGGTCAGCATAACTTTAGCGCTCTACCAAAGCTGTGGCTAAGCAACGACGGCTGTTGTGTCTTTAAGGCCATACAGTTTTTGCGAAAAAATTTCGAGCACAGTGTACGCACAGACTGTAAGGGAAATGCATCGGTGTGCGCAGTAGCAAATTTTGTCATTTAAAATACGCAACCGTGTTTATTTAGAAGAGACTTACTTTTCGGGTTGATCTGTTGCTACTTTGTAATCCTGAGGGGAGTCAGCCAATACGGAATAAAAATATCATACATTGTCATGCATGTTAAATGTAGCATACACGTATTTCGCGGACATATACACGCACCCCAGACGCGCAAAGACAGTTAACATGAGCACGAGTAGTCGGTATCGGTTGTGAGAGGGCAAACTATGACGCCTGGGGTAAAGATCAAGAAAACCAAAAACATTTTGACTGTGTATGAACTAACTTGGGAGTCGAAGTTTAAGATAGACTAGGTCAAAATGCCTGTTGACGTTTAGGCCAAATAGGTCAGACTCAAGATCGGTATGCGAACGGCCTCAAGACCTTCTCATGCAACCGCCTTGAGACCTGTCCCATAGACCCAGAAACACTAGAGACCTGTTCTAAGCCGAAGGTCGCAGGTGCTTATTTCAGGTCAGCGAACCCATTCGAACTCAACGAGGTCACGGTGAACAAAAACATCCTGATAAACCATAGAATCTATAAGTCTCAAAAAAGTATTGAAAACCTATAGGAACTTAAAGCCTATGTCAAATTGCTTTGCTTGTTTTATTGAGATACGCATGACGGAATACGTCATGCGGCATGTCCCTAGACAACGGATGATAGGGGTCACCTTAGGTCGGTGACATCCTCTGCACTGCAGGAATATCAGATAAGATGTCTGTTGACGTTCATTTGATCAAAAAATTCGAGAGAAGCATCAAACACTACACCTTGAATCACATGGTTCAGTGAAAAACAGTAAAGTCTTGACCTGCCTGACTAAAACTGACTGACTGAGTAAAAACAGTCTGACTGATGGTAAGATTAAAACTAACTGACTGAAAAACCGGCTGACTGAAACTTATTAACTGACTGACTAAAATTGTCTAACTTCATACTTGATTCGAGTTTGGTGGAGTTAGTTGTAATTCTAATCACCAACGGATAACTGTAGAAGAGCGCGCCTCATAATCGCTTTGTTTAACATCTTGTTGTTTCACCATATTAAACGATTCCCCAGGAATTACTTTGCTGACAGTCATTGCCTGACTTTGAAGTGCCATAGGTCAGCGAGCTGACTATGTACATCTAACTTTCTTTACTACAGATCCGTTGTTCAATCGCCCACAGCTCTGCAGTTCGGCGTGGCTACGCCGCGTCACAGCATGATCGTTAATGGAGCAGAATGTTTATCTTCCCAAAAACACGTGTGCTTATCGTATATAGCGGTATACAGGGGCGCAGTTTCACGAGATAAGGTCGGGGGGCTGAACAATGAAAAATGACAAAATTTGCCTCCAAAATATGTCAACCAAAAGGTTTTTCTCGGGACTTTGCCAATTTTCTTCTCAAAATTAGTGACGGGAGGCTGAAGCCCGCTCCCCCAACTGATTAGGAAACTACACCCCTGGCTGTGCACCTACCAACGCTAAGGACGGCTTCGCCGCGCCGGTCGGTAATTATTCTGAACGACTATCGAAGGGGGCTCGGCCAAAGTGGCCCCCGATCCGCGACCGCGGCAGCGCGTGTTGGTGGTAAGTAGGCATGTGGCGATCCTGTTAAAAGCACGTGCATTTTTTACACTACAGTTACAGTCAAGTCATCCTCGTCGCTGTTTTCCATGTAAGTATTGGTCGGTGTAGCTCGTTGATGTCATGGCAAAAAGTTGAGCTAAAAATGCTGTACAGCGTCCAATTGAAATCAAAATTTCGCACACTGCTCGCATGTCACAGAGAACCATGACTTCAATAGAGCATTAATGTTTTCAGGGGCATGGGGCGTTGTGACCTAGTCCAAGGACAAAAAAATGGAGTAGCTTGCGTAATTTGACCAGAAGGCTTGAGTCTCAAATCCAGTTGTTGGATCTGTTAATGTAGCCGGATGTTTGCCTTCTTATAGAAACGTATGTTTTTCGTACATAGCTCTGCGCCTACTAACACTAGAACCCTCCCTCTCCGTCGTAATAAAAAAGTTGTGGCTGCTCGCACCAACACATGAAAATCGTGGCTACTATGCGGAAAAACGATGCATTAAGCTTTACATACCTAGGGTCATAAGATATTCAAAGGTTCGTGAGATAAAAGGGAAAAGCTCTGAAGTACGGGGATGGCCGGAGACCTGCATGGCTAATCCTGTACATGTCCTCGCAACCAAAATACATGCCGCCTTCCATGGTCGCCATAAAAGGCGCATACGGTGCCGTAGGGCGGCCTCTAAACGGGCGCCCTCACTTCCCGATCAGCAGCGGTAAGTGCATGAAGTCCCTGCTCCCTGGATCCATCCCTGTATGATTACTATACTGCTTGGAATAATTTTTTATGAATTGTGCAAAATTGAAAAACACATTGCATTTCTTCAAAATGAAGTGGAATAAATCCGGTAATATAACAATGAGGGTGGGGTTTGTCATCGGGCCTTCAGTTCGGCCTCCCTCAGAATAATCACAAAAGTTGACACCCCTGATATATGGACCGGGGTGCCGGGGAGGAGGAGGGGGGCGGGCGGGCTGCACGAAGACGTTGATCTAACCTACCCACGACATAGGATGTCGCCTAGGATTTCGGACTGTTTGCTTTGTGTCCCGAGTAAGAATTAAAGAAGTTACAAAGCTATTTTATATTGTTTTTGTTTTTTTAACAAAAACCTCTCTAAGATAATGAGAGGCCCGAATAAAAAGCTCCAAATATTTCGCATATTCAAAGCTTTTTTGCTGTGGAGGAATGGCTTTCAATTTTAAGTGGATGTGAAACTGCCTTTTCATGAAAAGCATAGAATGGGCTGTAATAGATGAATGTAAATGGGGTATTCGGCGAGCTGCATCAGGAGCGGCTGGAGCGGTCTCAATGATGATTTAAGCGTCTTATGCTAGAAGAAAGTCCCGGCCGTATCATGAGAGACCTCGACTTCTCACACTTTCTTCGTTGCGTTGATGTCGTTGTACGGGAGAGTAGATGCGGCGTCCCATGTGTCTCACAGAGGCATGTCTTATCGGCGAGTCCTTGACAAGGCACGACTCGCGAGTGGCAAAAGAACATCGATGGAACTTGAGAACCCCTCAAGCCAGGGCTTCGTCAGTCGAACCTCATTCAGCTCCCGGCTCGGGAATGATCGGAACGCCCTCCCATCGGCAATGCTATCGTCATCCGTAGCTGAGCAGTTTCAAACTAGGCTCGATTCACGGTGGAGTGGCACCATGTGGGACATTCCGCACCGTGAGATGAGGTAAAATGAGGTTGTTTGGTTACCTGGACGGAATCTCGAAAAAAAAATCGGCATTGACAAGCCAGGTGGTCTTTTAATTCCTGATCACCATTGGATAATGCA